CGCCGATTTCGGCGGCACGCCCGGGTGCCCGGGTGCCCGGGTGCCTTATAGCCTTATAGCCCTATAGCCCATGGGCCCAATAGCCCTATAGCCCTATAGCCCAGCCCTATGGCCCTATAGCCCTATAGCTCTATAGCCCCATAGCCCTATTGCCCTATAGCTCTCTCTCTCTCTCATGTTCTCTCTCTCTCTCTCTTTTCTCTCTCTCTTTCTCTCTCTCTCTCTCTCTCTCTCTCTCTCTCTCTCGCTATATATATATATATATATAGAGAGAGAGAGATATATGTATATATGTATAGCCCTATAGCCCTATAGCCCTATAACCCTATGGCCCTACAGCCCTGTAGCTCTATAGCCCTATAGCCCTATGGTCCTATCGCCTTATAGCCCCATAGTCCTTTAGCCCTATGGCCCCATGGCCCTATAGCCCTATAACCCCATAGCCCCGCCTCATAGTCCTACAGCCCTACGGCCCCATAGCCCTATAGCCCCATAGCCCTATAAACCTATAGCCCTATGGCCCTATAGCTCTACAGCCCCATAGCCCCATACCCCAAAAAAAATATGATTGGGTTTCTTCTCCGGTATCATTCATGTTTCGCGAAAGCGGCCGTTACTGGCCCCGCCCACCCCTCCCCAGGTATCGTCACGATTCGTGCTGGCGTCCGAGCGTTCTGTGGTTCTTCCCAGATATCCCTAGACGGCGCCGGCGCGAAACGTGGCGTCAACAGCGCCTTTCCTCCTTCCCCCCCCCCGTTCTGGCAACGCTGGCTATCGCTCGCGGGTTAAGAAACAAGAGAAATCCCCCCCCGAACAAAAAATTGTTCTCCTTGCGGGGGGCCCAGACTAGAGGAAGCAACGTCTGCACAAGGCACCATTTTTCGACAGTCTGCGCGGATGTCGTGGATCTGCGCTGGACGCCCCTCCCTGGCGCGCAGGGGCGGCGCCAGAGGCGCTGCCAGGGGGGTCCAGCGCTGATTGAAAAAATCCTCGCGGACCGCTGAAAATTCATGTTGATACCGTTTTTCACCTTGTGTCGGGCACGTCCTCCTACAGGCGAATTTTGGCGGAAACATAAAACATAGTCAAAAAAACAACCAACAAAAAAGAGCACGAAAAATCTGGATTCTACTATTTTCTTACATCTCTGGAATACTCCTCCTGTAGAAGGACATGCCCGTTTCAATGTGAATGCCATTTTTCCTCCTTCGAGCAAAACAAGAAGACCGGAGCCCTGCCGTCGCGGCGGAGTACCGGCAGGCCACGGAGGCGCTGCGGGGCCTCGCGAGGCAGGCGCGGAGCCTGGAGCACACCGGTACTCAACGGCAGAGATCAGTCCCTCGAGCTCCAGGTCGCGGAGAGCGTTGGCCGGTGCCTCCACGGCCGGGGGTCGAGCCGGCACTGGGACTGGAGCCAGCAGGGGCAGCGGGCGACTCTGCCGGCTCGGCGGGGACGGTGGGCGGTGCTTGCATGAGATCCACGAAGGGCGGCGCGGCGGCGCCAGCGTCCTCTGACGCAAGGCAAACCTGGCAAGAGGAGTGGGGCGCTGCGGTGGGAGGGTCGGGCGACGTCGCAGGTGCGAGGTACTCGGATGACGGCGGAGAGTGCGCTCTCGTCAGAGGCGGAGCCGAACCAGCTCTGAGTACTGAGCTGGCACCGTGCCTCGGGCTGCGCGACGTCCCGGTCCCCAGGCGCGTGCATGACAAGACGAACGACCGCCTTGAGGGACGACTCGATCGCGGCACGCACGTCGGCAACGTGGTCGGGGGAGACGCCCGCACGAGTCAGAGCTCGCTCGCGGAGGTCCTGGTCCCCAGCGTGGCAGGGCGCGGGGAGGCCCAGAAGGGCATCGACGCAGTCGCCACAGTTGCTGATGTCGCCAATGGGGGGCGCGAGATCGTCGAGCTCCCGTAAGGCGGCCGACCCGAGCAGGCACCGCACCAGGTGGGCGGGGTGGAGCGCGGGCGGGGGGACGCCGAGCATCCCAGGCGGGAGGACGGGGAGATGAGGCGCCGCGCGAGGTCGGCCAGAGGACCCCCCCGATGCATCGGGCAATTGCACGTGGCCGCGGAAAGGAACTTCGCGATGTTGCTGCCCGTCGCCGCGCCCTGTTTTGCTGCTCCTCTTGTCGCAACCGCCTGGCCAGACGGGAACGGCGAGAGCCTTGGCGAGGTCGCCGGAGACCTGCCGCACTCGACGTCTGGGCCTAGGCCGACGAAACGCACGAGGCCGCGCCACCACGATGCGAGAGCAACCTTGCCAGCGTCGCACCCGAGAACGGGGTGAGGGTTCTGCGCAAGCTCGGAATTCGTTTTGCGGTCGACGTCGGAAGCGCCGCGCGGAGAATTGGCAGAGTTGGAGCAGCGGGGGATGCGCGCGGAGAGCTAAGGCCCGGATGGGCAGGAAAGCGGGGACCTGCCACGAGCCCCCCACGCCACTGGCTCGGCCCTTCGCAGAGGAGGGCAGGACAGAAGCCGGGCGGGGAGGGCCTGCGCAAGGACACCAGAAGGCATTATCCTGCCGGCCGGCAACGGCATTGTCGCGGGCCTCCGCGCGACGAGGCCGCTCGGTGAGGGCTGGAACGCCACCCACCGCCCCCCTCGAGGCGGATGCGCGCGAATGCGACGCCCAGCGCGGGGTTGGGACCCCCGCGTGCTGTCGCGGCGCACCAGCAGCCCAGCCCCAGAGGCAAGCTTGAGCAGATCGTGGAGCTCGGCGCCTTGCCCTGCCAGGGCCGCGCCAGAACTCATGGCGAAGACGCAGCCGCTCTTGCCAACCAGGGCGACGTTAATGTGGCGCGGTCGGCGGGGCCGGGGATGCACCCGCCGTTGAAGCGCGCGCGCGCGAAATGATAACGAGGTCGGCCTCGTCGCCCTGCATCTGGTCGGCGGAGTAGACCTGGACGTTGCCCCAGCGATTGCGGAGGCCCGGGACGGCAGCGGGCGGCTCCACAGCGCCGCAGGAGCGCCCGCAGGGCTGAGGCTGCCCAGCCCCGCACAAGGCTGCAGCAGCCCCGCTGATGGGCCAACCTACATTGAGCACGGTGGCTCGCGGCGGGGGGCGATGACCGCGACGGCGACGCGGCGGCCAACGAGCGACATGGACGCGGAGAGGAGCTGCTCCAAGACCGCCGCATCGACGGGGCTGCAGTAGCTGGAGGCAACGGCGCATTCCCGCCTGGCCGAGAGTTGCCCCATGCATTGTCGCATCTGTACTCTGATACCCTGTTGAAGCATCCCACCGATCCCCCTCGAAGTGCACGCAGGGTAGAGCGCGCTGGTAGTCACGGTATATGGTAGGGCCATCGAGGAGCACACTGGTGAACTTCATGATGATCACGACTCTCTCCTTCGACACCCTGCAGCAACGCACCTGTCGGCACTCCAAACAATACTTCCAATTGCGACGACGGCGCGAGCACTCCGCGACGCCCATCCTGCATGCCCCGAGGTGCACTCCGAGAGACCTCGCCAATGCACATCATGCCTGCCTGTGGGCACGCCCAGCATGCCCAGAGTAGCACTCCGAGAAAACCTCGCCACTGCTTCTCGTGGCATTCCAGCAGGCCCCAGGTGGGCGCACTCTCTGGCGGCCGCCGGAGAAGCTGGCCGCAGTCGTCTCCTCCGACTTGGGGTGGTCGAACTTTACCTCGAAGATCTCGGTGTCATCCAGCAAGGTCTGGTTATCTTCGTCGTTGTCCGATATCTTCAGCACCAGTTCGCATCAGCTCTGCACGGTGGCGGCCATACCCCCTGCTCTTCCCCATGCGTCCACGGGGTACCCTGCGACGGGATCGCAACCTTTGACCTTGTGCGCCATCGGGAAGGACACGGGAATCAGCTCGAAAAGCTCCTCTGGGCTCATCCTCTGGACAGCGTCGAACAGCTAGCAGTGGCACTGGCGTCGTCTAGCTGCTGCGGTAGCCTTTCTGATACGAGCGCTTCCCATTGTTTCCCACCTTGAGCTCCACCACCACCGACGGCCCAGTCTTGAACGGGAGGAACTTACACCCGCGCCCGATATTTGGCAACTCCTCGCAGTTGTTGCCGAACGCGTCCTTCATCTTGTCCACCCTTCTTCCACGAGCACATCTTCTGGGTGGCTCTCCTGCGCCTTGACGAGCTGCAACCAGTCCACCTTGCACCAGAACTGCCACTTGCCCCCTCTCGAGTCGGGGCCGGGGTCTCCCCGCCACAGCTTGTTTGCAAATGCAGGCCCGCAACAGCGGGTTCCCCCCCCCTCTTTTCGCCCCATCCAGCGCCCCTCCTGCACACGTTGAACACCTGCGTTGCCCCTCCGCTTGCCCGCGAACTCCAGGGCCTCGAGGTGCGACTGCTTTGCCCCCACATCCTTCGCCGCCTTGTAGTCGCCCATCTCGTGCAGCCCTTTCTCTTTTTCCTCGAACTCTTGTTCTGTCGCCCTCAGCGCACCTTCGTCATTGATGTCCATGGCCATGTACTTGTTTAGCAGGATGTCGCATTGATCTGCGCAGCGCAGACCCTCTGTCACGTTTGCTCATCCTTTGCTTAAGGCTGCAAATATACTTCCATTTGTGTCGAGGCCCCCTAGCAGCGCCTCTGTCATCTCCTTTGACCTCTTTATGGCCATACTGTTTCTTACTGTGCAAGACTTTTCTTTGGGCCTTCTTCTTCCGCCAGTAGTGCTTGCG